AGGGACGGGCCGGGCTGGGCCGGGACAAGCCCCGGACTCAGCCACGGCCCCCAAAGCCGGGGGGGACGACCCATCTTCGGCTACGTGCTCCGTGCACGCTCGCGCTCAGCCCTGCTATGCGTGAACCACGCCAAACCCTTTCATCGGTGCTTTATGAGCTACAGCGGGCACGAGGGCCTGCGTTTTCTGAGATGTTAATGGCACAAATCAGCATTTGCCACCGTGCTGTAATTTTAAATATACGTTTTCCCTTGAAATGTTCTAAAAGAGGAAGAGCTTTACACCAAATATTTTAATTCCAACAGCCTCTTCTGAAAGAGCAAGCTGCGAGACAGCAAGCGTAACTATTTAATGCCACTTTTAGGCTGGAGTCTCCTTTTCACAACCAAGAAACAGGCTTCCGTGTCGCTGAAGGCCGTGTTGCAAGGACAAAGCAGTCTATGAAATATTGGACACTTGCCCTCATCTACATCTCAGCATGATGTCATCACTGAGCCGCAAGCACCTGCTGGGGGAACAAGCTCCCCCTGACTCCAGGACGGAGCTGCGCTCGATGCGGCCAATAAATGCCTCGCCATGCCCTCACCGTGAAGGGAGCTGAGGTATGCTGAGGCTTTCTCAATGCCCGAGGTGTGTTCCTACCTAGCAGCGTACACAAACACTTGGTCATTAGGCGTGTCTGGCATTTGTTTCCCGAGTCAAAACAAAAACACGAATTATCACATATGTGTAGAGACGCTCCAGCCCACATACATATGGCCATATGTCACGGAGTATCACTTTACACCCCTGCAGCACGTTTTACAAACTGCTGGATGACAGGCACCCACGCGCAGGGGCCCCAAGCCCAGTTTCATTTACTCCTGTGATGCAACACCAGGCCTGGAGCAGAGTCTGATCCTGAAAAGACTTAACTGTCTAAATTGGGAATGTGCCTCTCCTGAAGACTTTGAAGAACAAGGCTGGGACTGTAACAAAGAGGATGGACACTTTTCTTTAAGAATAGTCCACTAAGAGAAATCTAACCATAGCTAAGATAACTCTAACTGAAAAGGGTGAGTGAAACAATTATACTTTCAGGTCAGGTGTTCAGCAAAATAATTATATTTTGAGGTCAGATGTTCAGCAGAAGTAAATGGAGACAAACTATTATACAACTGTGAACAGAAAACTAAATTAGGTATTTAAAAAGTTGGGTTAATACCAATTTGCAGTTCTGTCATTACTCAAGAGTGTTTTTATTATCGGATAAGTTACAGAAAATAAACCACATACTATTGTAGTATGTCCCCAGTCAGTAAAAATATATACATTTTTTGCAAGTTTGGGATAAGGGACATTTTATTTCAACTCTTCGAACAATTCTTTGAGGATAGTGTGCGTACCGTGCGTACACAGATGATACCAAAGGTACACAGCATTTTTAATAGTTCTCACCTTGAAATACTTCTAAACATAGCAAAAATTCTCAGATTTCAGAGAAAGCTATTTAGCCTCTCAACCAATTCTGAAACAGTGTAACAGCACCCTAACAAATGCCAAAGGCTCAGAGCAATAAATATCAAAACCAAGGTTACTATAATTACTATCACTGTCTTGTTTGCAAGAGGAACAAGAACATTTGTTTTAAAATTAGCAGAGGATAAGAAATTATTTTATGTATTTATTTTTAGTTTGCTGATTAATAATTAATAAATGGCAGATTTTTGTGGTGCTAGCATTCATGTGCTGGTTATTTTAATGGGAATGCCACACTGATTCTTTCAGGGAAGCTAAGTGGGCAAAAATTTATACACTTTAAGTTCTGGTAAGGTTGCAACACCTTATCTTTTGGCAAAAAGCTGCTTATGGGAAAAAAGATTTGCTTTGCTGCAAGAATTAAATAACTCACCACAGAACCACTCACTCTATGGATAGAACAGGAACTGGTCATCAATTGTCATTACAAACTACTGAACTTTTTTTGTTTTAATGGATTACTGATACTCAGAACAAGATGTGACAAGCATATGTATTAGAATATCATATGCAAATATTGCTATCACTGAAGAGCAAGTATTTAACATCAATGAATCCTATTTCTGTCTCTTTAAAGATGTTACATAATTCTCTGCAGTTTGTATATGTAAAACTGGATTTGCATATGCTTAAGCAAGAAACAGATTCTCACTACTTTAAAACCCTTCTGATATTTTGAACAGAAAAATTTTTGATTAAATTGTCAAATGCCCATTAATAGCTCTGGCTTATCAAGCAAAGCAAAACATGCCACCACTCAAGGCCTTGCTACCACAGCAGCATTCCACCCTGAGTGAATCATGGTAGCAGGGGCAAGATTGGAAGTAGATAGGAGCATTGTCGCTAAGAAGACTGTTAACCTTGATGGTGGCTGCAACCCATTAGGTAAAGATGAAGGTAAAATGACAACTTAGCTAATACCATGCCACTTTGTCGTGGTTTAACCCGGCTGGCAACTCAGCACCACGCAGCCGCTCGCTCACTCCCCCCTCCCTCAGTGGGATGGGGGAGAGAATCGGAAAGAAAATAAAAGGTTAGAGCTGAGGGCTGAGATAAAGACAGTTTAATAAGAGAAAATAATAATAATAATGAGAATGATAACAAAATATACAGAATATACAAAATGAATTATGCACAATCCAATTGCTCACCACCCGCCGACTGATGCCCAGCCCATCCGAAGCCGTGATCAGTTCCTGAGCCGCGATCAGTCCCCGAGCCGTGATCAGTCTCCCCGCAACCCACCAACCGACTAACTCCCCCCGAGCATGACGTTCTATGGTATGGAATAGCCCTTTGGTCAGTTTGGGTTAGCTGTCCTAGCTGTGCTGTACTCCCAGCTTGTTATGTACCTGGCCGAGCAGGAGAAGCTCAAAAAGTCCTTGAGTAGTCTGAGCACTACTTGGCAACAACTGAAAACATCAGTGTGTTATCAACATTCTTCTGGTACTAAATCCAAAACACAGCACTGTGCTAGCTACTATGAAGAAAATTAACTCTATCCCAGCCGAAACCAGGACACACTTACAATCAAAAGATACTGTCACCAAAAAGTGGATCCTCACCCTGCTCTGTCACCAAGCCCCTCCTTGAGGGGCTCAGCTACCTGCATGCCGAGGAGCAAGCCCAGCCTGGATGATATAGATTTACTGCACAACTTTGGCCCAGACTTCTGAGGGAACTGTTAACTGCGAGACAGAGCTGTGTCTGCAGAAAGACAAGAACAGTAAAATTACAAATAGAGGTAGGGCTGTTGAGACAAGGACTATTAGTAGCATGAGGATTCAAGAGGAAAAATATCAGTGTGGAAAGTTATAAAATCCTAAAGTGAATAAAACCCAGGTATCTTCAGTGGGTTGCTAGTGTCACCTACATCAACAGACCCAGTGAATGAAAACTGAGGTAGCAGTGGAGGCCCACCCTTTTCTCAATGCTTGTTTAGGCAGCAGACCTCAGGTGTTTTATCAGGGGGTGGGGACCCCACTAATGCCTAACCAGTGGCTTGTTAGAAGCTTGTTTTTTCTTCTCAGCCAGTAATTGCTTTATATTTTTAAGCTGTATACATCTTACTTGGGGAATTTCTTCATATACAGCTAATGATGCCCAAAGCAACCCAGAGAAGGATGGTACAGAGAGGTCAGACACTTCTGTTAAAATCAGATTTCTGAACAGTACTGACATTTAACTGCTGTCCTTCGGCTTAGGACTATATACTGCCTTTAAGGGAGCTGGCTCTTAAAACCAGAACTGTCCACCCGTGGCAACCCAAAAGATTTCGTGTGTGAAAAAAAGTTCTAAGTAAAAGCTTAAATTCTGTGCAAGGCATCAAAAATGATTACCTGTAAGCACCCAGTTGGATGCCCCATGGGCTGCCGCATACCTGAGCGGCGAGCGCACCGGCTGCGGTGCGGGCTGGGAGGCCCGGCCCCTCCGCAGGGCCTCACCCCGACCCCTCCGGGCCGACTCCTACCGCTCTACCTGGCCCTGCAGGCCGGGGCTCAGGTGTGCCCGGACCAAGACCCCCCCCTTTCGCTGTCAGGCGGGAGAGTCCCAGCGTAAGGGGGCAGAGGGGCGCTCCTCAGCGGTCCCGCCGGGGAGGACCCCGGGTGTCCTTCAGCGAGACCGCCCTCATCCCCTCAGAGC